AACAGTGAATTCACATTAAACAGAACACATTTGTATGCACAGATATGTATAAAAGAAAATAAAGCTCTCCGCGACGATCAATCCTGAGGCATACGCCATGCATTCGACTTCATTAAGCGTCATCGGAGATGACTCAATGCATATCTTGCCTTTACAATGACTCGCGGTGGCCTACCGATGTATCGAGCCAGTGCTACTATCCTCCCAGACAAGTCTGGTACCAATTTACCGACCCCGGAGGGATGGAAGACTTGGGGGCCATGGGCGCGGGGATCGATTTCACGTGTGTGGCGCCCCCAACCACTGCACCACACACGTCTTCTATATATATATATATATATATATATATATATATATATATACCCATCGTGGCTGGGAGGTGTTCCTGGATGTCGGACTGCGATGCACAATGGGGGATTCGTCCCTCAGGCAGGGTCTCTCGAGCTGAGGAGTTCGGCGTTTCCACCAGGAAGCCTAGCTAAGAGTAAACCAACACTAGGATCCACTACTGTCCTGGTATAAACTGGTCGCATGGTGGCAAATCTCTCTGTGATCCACAAGGGTTGCGACTGCCCGTGGTGGTGAAGACCTAGGCCAGACTTTGGCCAGGTTGATCTCGTGATTCCAGAGAACCACAATGGCTTAACCAGCAAATGGTGATTTTGCTGGGGCCCGCACAACCAATGAGAACGGGGCGTTCAAGTGTCAATTAACAAGTATATATACATACATATGTATGCATGTATACATATATGTATACATGTACACTTATGTATATATATACATATATATATATATACATAAACAATAAGCGTGTGGAGAGTATGCAGCGCAGCGGTCTGAGCTGCCTTGCAATACACACGGGATCGACCCCCATGCCCTTGGCTCACGAAGCCTTCCATTCCTCCGGGATCGGCAAGTTGGCACCATAAGTGGCTGGGAGGATAGCATATCGGCTCGATACATCGGCAGGCCACCGCGAGTCATTATAAGCCAAATATGTATTCAATAGCCACTAGCGACGCCTAATGAAATGGAGTGCACGGCGCATTCCTCAGGGATTGATCAACGCCAAGAGCTTTATCCTTCATTCTTTAATAAGCGTGAAGTACGGTGCGAAGACAAAATCATAAACGGATTTCCACATCATAAAAGTAGGAAGCGAATGGTTATTATCTATTCGACTCCAGAATTTATTGTGCTCAAACCAACACCTCTGAAAGCTAGTCGATACACCGGAAGCTAGATTGTAGAAGGCAAGTTGGAGGGGAAGCCCGAATTGCAACTAAATCTAAGATCAAAAACGGCTACCAAGTGCAAAACGTCGAAAACCAGGTGGGTCCGATGTGCGATTGCCGTACCACCAACTGCACGACAAAGACCATTAAATGTTGGGTTGAATGGGATGTCAAAAGCAAAATAAGAATAAAACAGTCTAATGAAAGACCTGGCTGACTACTAACATTATTAAGGACGTGCAATTGTTTTAACGACATAACAGATTTTCAAAAAAAAAGCAGCACTGCTCAACAACTCTCATTTTCAAAAGGGATAACGAACAGATGCAATACCTGAGCTATCCCGATGAGCACTATTAGCGCCGTTTGACCTAAACTCCACAGCAAAACACGTTCATTAAGTTGCTCCGCTCGTTTCCTTCCTGTTGCTTCCCGAAGGCGATGATGCGTCTGGTAATCGTCGACCTACAAACGAGAACTCTCAGTCAGTGGGTTTAACACATAACTAAGATGCAACTCTCAAGTAAGTGGTCTTCATAGATATAAAAAACATACCACCCGAAGTTTATCTGCTATAGCAACAGCAGAATTTTCCAGCGCATTCATTGCATGAGTGCCCGGTGTTATAGCTTTATTGAGGTTGTTCTGATCACCGACCTATGATATATCATTAAACATAGATACCGACGAGCAGAAAGGCGATCAAGCAAAATTTGTGGTGTCACTGGCACTCCCTACCTGCCAGTCCATGTAAACAATTTTATGCGAAAATGTCGAGAATTCATTTGAGAAGCAAGCTTTGTAGGTACCAGCAGTCTATAAGCAAACAATTGACTGAATACGAGTGAAGGCAAGCGACTTACTGATTTACTACCTGTGTTTTCCAGTTAAAATTGTCATATTGCTTTTTTACGTCCTTATAAAGCACTTTCCCACTGGGATCTTCCAGTGTCATGTCGACATCGTACTGCCCACCAGCAACAACCTTAACGAACGATTACAGAAATTTTCTGAATATTGCTTCAATGCACACATTATATAAACATATATACACACACGTATATATATACATATGTATACACATGTATGTATGTGTGTACAAGTATATGGATACATGTAACATGTGCACCCATATACATGTTATAACACACATCCGAATTTGTATATATGCATATATGTTTATATGTACATACACGTACATATATGTATACACATATATATGGACATATACGCACACATATAGGTATATATATATGGGAGTGAGTAGTGCAGTGGTCAGTGATATCGTCGAAAGCAAGCAAGGGGGCTAGTTCAATCCCCGCCTCAGCGCTCTTTCCAATCCACGTGGGAACGCTATAGCTCAGCTATCGCCAAGATTGAAATGAGAATCAAGTGACCAGCATTCTACCACATTCACAAAGAAGAGGAAATCCTCAAACAGCAGCCAAGACAGCATGTGAAATGTTCGAAAACCATTATGGACGATGAGTGACTCGATTGCAAAAGTGCTGAGCTCGGCACACGGGATGTGGTGATAGGTCATCCAGTAAATAGAGTACTTGTACTAACCACATATAAAACATACAGATACAAAACAACAATACAGGATTTAATATCAGCGCTCACCTGGAATTCCAGAATGCAATTTACATCGGCTTCAATGTCCTCGAAGAAACACTGGTTAGCATTATCGGGTAACTCGAAGGTCAGCTCGATTCCAAACGACACTTTTGAGAAAACTGTCAAACACACCGCCAGGAAAATATCTCTAAGCATTCTGGAAATGCTTCAGGAGTACACCAGGTCTCTCTGCGCAGCAATGTATACAACCAGAATGAACACTGTCTAGTTCTGAGATCACGGAGATGACGTGTTATCTGAACGATTCCGTGCAGTCGCGCTCAACATTCGTCGCGTTTGTACGAAATACTACGGGCATTTCTACGTACCGTAAACAGTTGTGAGCTTCATCACGTTTTCCTCGCAACAGTACCACATCGCACCGATGCTGGTAGGCCCTGCTAAAGGACCGCTGTTCATTCTACTAATGCCCTGTGTAAAAGTTCGGTCCACCTTTTGAGATGTCGTTGAATGTAAAATTAGCCATTATGGTTATGATAACACAATTTGCAGTGACATTGGCCACTATGCTTGGTAATTCTTGATTGTTAATTTCTTCAGTGCCCCTTTACAGGACTGGCTGACCAAGTGGATATGTCTGGAGAGTCTTCGGTGAGTTCAAAATTACGTCCTTCGCTGACAGACCAAAGTTTTTTCTGCGAGACTAAAACCATAAAACTCAAATTCGGCAATACTGCCAGACCTGGATAGTACTTTTGCGGATATCTAGTTGTTTCGGCAACAGTTCGCCTCTTCTCCCACTTAATCACTTAATTTCATATTTGGTAACAAGCAGTAGTAAGAGGCCTTCCAACGCTTTACTGCCTTATCGCGGCTGGGAGCTGTTGCTGGGCGTCAGGCTGCGATATACGGCGGGGGATTCATCGCCCCGGCAGGGCCTTCCAAGCTGAGAAGGACTCCAGCGTTTCCACCAGGAAACCCAGCTGGGAGTAAACCAATACCAGGATCTACCACTGTCCTGGTATCAGGTTGACGTCTGAACTCTAGGGAAACATAATGGCTAAGCCAGCAAAGCTCCGAACAATGGAGAATGTGCTGGGGTCCGTGCAACTAGTGAGGATGGGCTGTCCAAATATCCAAGTAAGTAGCAAGAGGAATTTCAGATATATTTAATAACAATGTCTTCCTCCCTGACCTGGTTTTTTTTTAGCGCAGTCGCGATCAGGAAGGTGATTGCCCTTCCATTCCAAATTTCGTCAAACGCATCCCATTTTAAGGCTGAAATTGTTAATTGAAGTCGAAAGAGTGCCGAGGTTGGCCGACTCTTCTAGAAAGCTTCCTTATTCTATGAAGGCGATTTTTGGAGCCCACATTACATTTCTTTTTGCTTTTTGTGGTCAGAGTTCCTCTTTCGAGTACAGTAGTGGTTGAACTGGAGGGATCCTACCTAGCAGGACTCGATGGTGTTCACCAACGGTCCATTTACGTTAACGTTTGCTGAATTTGTGTTGAGAGTTTTGCAAATCCAAGTTCCAATTCCGCTGAGTTGGAAATTCCGATTTTAAGCACATTTGCTATTGGGATATCTAGAGAAAGCTTATGTACCGTGAAAGTGATGGGAAAAATTTTGTGCTGTAGGGATATCATATTAGCAAGAGTTTATGAACAGTTGTTTCAATATCAGAACGATCGAAAATCAGAGCAAACACAACCCCATTTCAGTGTTGTGGTTGTTTTTCATTTCACCCTCTTAGTTTTGTTAGGTTTGTGTGTCATGTTATCATTTAGGATTCGGAATCAGATGCTGGCCCTAGTGGTAGGGATCACGCATTCTCTGTACTTGCAAGAGCGAAGCGAGAAGATTTGAAGGAGACATTTGAGGAAGAGTATGATCATTACAAGGTATGCTCACCACTGTTTTTGTTTACCTAGTTTGTTGACGCTGAATCCAGCACTAATTTGTCAAATGATGCACGTGACAGCGCGATGGAGAAAGAACATCCAAATTTTTAAGCACAAAAGAGTATGGGCCAATGATTCAACCGATGGAGAGCTATCGAACTCGTCGACGGAATCTGAGCCCTCGGCTGCAAAGATACCGGCTTATACGGATGATGCCCCGCCATTGAAGCCATTGTCTGCTGCAGAGAGAATGATGGCAAAAATGGGTTATAAAGAAGGAAAAGGTCTTGGAAAACTTAAACAAGGTAATTACCAATTTAATAATTTGTATTTTTCAGTGCGAAACATAGTTTGATAGGATCTATGTGCGGGCTCGTACGCAGTTTGATAACAGAGGTGAACATGAGCGTATGCATTGTGAGCCATATGTCAATTTTTTAATTTCTAGTGCTTTAATGTTATGTCCTGTTGATCTAGTATTAAGATTTTTGGAATGTGTGGTGATAGAAAGTGCCAGTAAATAGCTAGTAAAGAAGTTCATCGTTTAACGAAGTGCTAGGGGATCATCATCCTACACTGATGTTGCTTCCAACAACAAGGACGATTTCTTGGATACGAAGCTCACTTATCCACTTATCTAACTGTCTCTTTGATTCTAACCTTTTCTGACTTGCTGATTGAATTATAGGCTCAATTGAACCAGTTCCGCTATCCACTCAACGTGGTCGCGTTGGTCTTGGACATGAAATCAATAAGGTAGCTTGTTCGCAATTTGCTGAAATTTTTACGAATGTATTTTTTAAAACGTCCTTTCACTTTATGTTTTGCTCCGTTAACCTATACGTTTAGTCTGTTGGTCGTGATCTGACAGAAATATGGGACGAGTCAGAGGAAAAGGCTATTGAAGAAGAGGTATATTGGATGCCCAAATGTCGAGGAGGCACTCGTGAGTGGGTTGTAGATAATCTCGAAGGATCTGATTGGATTCAAATAGGAGAGGTAGTGCATATTGACTTGATCCGTATGCCTTTTACTTTATCCTGCGCATTTTAATCTGAGGAAATTCGCCGCTTTCTTATAATTTTTACGAAAGGATATTTATTCCGTGCAGTAGTTCCAGGATCAACTTTCTGTTAACCTTGGCATTGGGTTATAAATGCGTCGTTTTTTTCAGCAATCGCGAGGTTGTTATACAGCACACGTTTGTTTCTTTACAAAAAGAACACACAACGCAACGCTAGAGGACGTTTCGGTAGTACTGCCTTCTTAGGAGCCTGCAAGCGTACACTGATACGTAATTTATTGGGACTAACGCTTCAACAGCACAAACATAAGGTTGAAAATCTGAGCGACAATTACGCGATCTACAGCTTCTCGAAAAAAAACCCACAGTTTTTTACCTGCCTTCCACCGGAGAAGAACTGCCGCTCAGACGCATATGGTTGATGACTGCACCAGTCCACATAAAGATCATTTTTGAGATAGGAGACTATATCACGTGTTTTCTCTGGGCATTCTTTCCTGTTATTAATTTCGGGATACTTGGCATTTATCCAAAAAGCCTTGAGGAGTTTGAGAACAAAAGAAGGAGAAGAGTAGAAAGAAGAAAATCGTGGGTGTTTTGGGACCCTGTGCGAAGATAGCGACTTTATCAAAATCGTCTCCGTTACGCTTTCGTGTCCTATGCGCTCCTAGTTGGGTACTTTGACTTACTTTTCGTTTGCCGCCTAGATGTTCTTCTATACGGATGCACGAAGGTCTGTGAACTCATGCAGTCACCGTCGCTGCAATAAGAGCAAATTATGCAATTCTGTGTTTCACATAGAGTCATATAGGCGACAGCGAGCTGACTGACGACAAGGAGCCTTTGATGGTTTTCAACTGTCGCTATCGATTCCTCTAGATCTGCCCTTCTTAAGCATCGCTTTATCGCTACACTTATTTCATCGCTAATAAAAGGCAAGATAAAAGGGATTTTGTTTCGACCAAACCGTTCGTTTTGGCGCGTGGCTTTCCTTCTAAACTTAAATCGTTGGGTTGATATTTCGTAGCGACTGGTGCTGTTTACTGAGTCAAGTCGCGCGATTCCTCTAGTTCTCCACAGAGGTGGCTATTCAGAATATTTCTCTCACAATCGCCCTCTTTGTATGTGAAGGGTAGGGAAAAGGAAGATGAACAGGGATGTTTTTTCTTGGTTTTCGGTGCTATTTTATCATTAACTGCTATCAGATAAGTTGGTAAGCCATCTGATCGACCTGCTTCCATTCCTTAACATTCAAATCAACTTATCAAATAGCGCTTACATAGCGATTTGGTATCGAAGCGAAGTAGCATACACATCCTGGTTCATTTCCTTTCTTTCCATCTTTCATGCACTAAGACAGCGATGGAGAGAAAGATGTTTTGAATGGCCATCTCTTTGTGCACAAAGAGGGAACCAAAGGAGAGGAATCGCGCTACATGGCTTGGCAAGTAGCCATCTCCAATGGTTGCGAAATAGTAACCCCACGAGACAAGTTTAAAAGGAGAGCGATACCCAAAAGGGATACACTTGGTCGAAAGAAAATTCCGTTTAAAAATTCCCTTTATTAGCGGTGAAGTAAGTGTAGCTACAAAACGATGCTTAGGAAGGGCAGGTCAAGAGAATTCGATAGCGTTAGTTGAAATACCACCGAAGGCTCCTCGTCGTTAGTTAGTTGGCAATCACCTATATGACTATGTGAAACAAAGAATTGCGTAATTTGCTCTTATGGCAGGGACGATGATTGCATGAGTGCAGGTACGATATACCTGATCTCTCATAGTTCTTGTGGAGACGAATATATGGACGAAATGGGCAGGCAGACCTTTATGCATCCGTATAAAAGAGGACCTAGATGGCAACGGTGTTGTTCTTCCTTGGTGAAACTCAGGTAAAAAACTGTGGGTTTTTCGAGAAACTGTAGGTCGTGTAATTATCGTTCAGATTTTCGTCTTTTTGTTTGTGCCGTTGAAGCGTTAGACCCAGTAAATTCAGCTGGTGTTGTGTTCTATGTGTTCTTTTTGTACGGAAGTAAACGTGTGCTGTAGAATAACCTCGCGTTTCCTGAAAAAGAAGACGGCACCATGCAATAGCTTTCTTCCTTTGTATCAAAGTTCTACGCTGAAACGTGTTTCCAGAAGAAAATGAAAATTGACGACGAAACAGAATTTTGCGATGGCGAAATTTTGCGAACAATGATTAGCTCAAAGGAGGTATGTTGCTAAAAGAAAGTGTTTTCGTAGTGGTAACCGTTTCCTTGTTTGTGCTCCAGGTGTTTGACGTGATTCCCGATCGTGATTTGCGAGAAGCACGGACACGAGCCAATCCTTATGAAACCATCGGAGGAGCCTTTTTTCAAAATCGAGCCGCGATGAAAGTTGCTAATTTGGACAAAGTTTTTGACTTTCTCTTAAGTGGAGAGACGGAGAAAAATCTTTTAGTATGTCAGCAGAGTATAATAGAAAACTTCAGAGAACTTTATGTAATGTTTCAGAGCAAAAATCCTCTGGTATCCGAAAGACCAAATTTCAACTGTGATCGAGAGGCTCCTCTGTTTTACTTCGCAGATGTGTGCGCTGGTCCTGGTGGATTTTCAGAGTACATATTATGGCGGAAAGCTTTCTATAATGCTAAGGGATTTGGTTTCACACTTAAAGGTACCACAGTATTAATTTTGTAACGTTTTGTGTCTGTATTTAATCCTCTTGTTTTGTCAATTACAATATTTGGCTCCTACAACGATTTTTCATGCTTTTATTTCTTTCTTTTGTGAAGGAAAGGATGACTTTAAACTTGGGAAATTTACGGCTTCTTCTGCGCATTATTTTGAACCTTATTATGGCGAGCACGGTGATGGTGACGTTATGAATCCAGTCAACATAAATTCTCTTGAAAAATTTATCATGAAAGGTAAGAAGATGCAAAAAATACTTTGAAACACTGTTTTTAAAAAGAACTGTGTCCTGCTCTAATTGATGATTCTGGATGGATTTTTGTATAGAATGTAATCTTATGGATAAGTAATTGCTGTGATTTTTTAGGGACCAACGATGTTGGGGTAGATTTGATGATGGCCGACGGCGGTTTCAGCGTGGAAGGAAGTGAGAATATACAGGTGTGTTCTTAAGCGTCTTCACACTGCAAGACGTTCTTGTACGCACTCGGCTGTGTACTCATTCTGCGTCGTAAGATCACTATAGGGTGGAGAGGCCGTTTTAGAGAAGCAAAAGCGCATTTAAAAGATCTTTAATGGGGCAGTGGGGCATTAATGCGGTACCATTTACATAACTTCAGAAAATTGCAGGCGACATGGCCTAGTCGTACGCCTTTATGATAAGCTAACGCCACAGGTTTACTTCTTTGTAGCTCTTTAGTAGTTTCTCTTGTATAATTTTTTTTCAGGAGATCCTTTCCAAACGTCTTTATTTGTGTCAATTGCTGGTTTCGCTTTGTATTGTCCGTGAGAATGGCACTTTTTTCTGCAAACTTTTCGACATATTCACTCCATTCAGGTGTGATGAACATAATCGTATGAATATTAAAGTCAAATGTGAACATTAGTTGCTCAATCATTCTTTTACAGTGCTGGGCTGGTATATTTGATGCATGTTGCATATAATCAGGTGTCACTGCATAAACCTCACACTAGCCGACCAGCCAACTCCGAGAGGTCAGCACATAAGCTTCATTTTTATTGCATGCGACTTTCTTTTTAAGTGAAGTGGTAATTCAGGTATATCATTTGTAAAGGTCTTCGTAAAAACTACTCCGATGCCATACGTGACTATCTCAAACGGTTGGTAAATTAGACTGTTTTGGTTTAATTTATAATAACTCGTTAAAGAACAGGAAGATGTCATTGGAACGTCTGTTGTCAACACTTCAATAAAATGTATCTTCACATTTCTTCCCAAGTTGTATTTTGTGTATTTGGTTCTATCAGCGTCGTTACAACTGAAGAAAATTAGCTGCTTCCGACTTTTTTGTGATTAGTCAGATCCACTGCTGTAAATTCTACAAAATTCTTACTTGATGTGCACCGAGTGCTAAAATTTAGTGTCAATTTGAAGCTGGACGAGTTGGCGAAGACTAATTCATCACAGGACGTTTTGAGTATTGTACCCATAGAGATAATGCGAAGCGATGAGGCGTTTACGACCTATCTTAAAGCACACAATGAAAGGTACCCCTAATATTACTTTTTTAAGCTGTACATTGTAAAAACATATTTCGAACATAATTCTGCTTTCGGAGCAGTGGGAGAGGTTTTCATTTTTGCTTATTCTAGTGTGTATCACATATTGTGATGCAAATGTAGCGCAGTGGTTAGAGGTGCCCTGCAGTACACATGGCATAGTCCATATTCAGGGTACAATCCGCATGCACATGAGAACATTTATACACGTATAAAATTCTTTGTGTGGTTGTTATGTGTATTTTATGTTAGTGTGGAAGGTATAAGTTAGTAGGCCTATATATGAACTTGTGGGTCCAACACAGTAGGCATCAAAATAGTAAACAAAGATGCTATGCTGATATCTCTTTTTTGATTGGAGTTAAAGTGCATGCGTCGGTTTTGATTGCGAAGGATCTATAGCATTGCCGAAATACGTATTAATCAATTGGTATTGTAATAATTAGGTCTACTAGTTATGTTGGAATTAGACGTCGTGCTTCTGTTTTTTCATGGTATGTTATAATCGAATGGGACACATAGTTCTTATAGGTGCTAGTGTACTTAATTGATCATATATTCTTGTTTAGAATAGCTGTTCGTCAGTCAACATATCTCCGGAAGTACTTGACCTACGCCAAAAATAATTCTTTAATAGATAAAGACCAAGTGAGTTTCATAACACTCTTCTGTAATATCCACTGAGAGTTATTAAATACAGGGCACTCTTCGTGATGACTGTCTCAAATATTGGTTAGTTCCAAATAAAACATTGAATAGAGGTGCGGAACGTTATCAAATTGATCCGGAGCAGTACTTTGGAAGGTTTACTAGGAAGGTTTGGCACCTACATACAATTTTTTATGTTGTTGTACTGCGTGCACTACATTTCTCTGAGTTTTGACATATGAGTTCATGTCGTTACATTATTTTACGAATTCTCCTTGATGGGGTAACACTAGGTTGTTAACACGTATTTTTGATGTTGGATGGCTAACGTTTCGGCGACTTTCCCACCTTCAGAGCTTACACATTGTTACGCAGTCTTGCTCTTATTATTCGGTCAGTATTCAGTAGCTTTAATGAAAGTACGATGTAAAAGTCGAACCCTGATATATTAAATACTCATTGTTACCGGTTTACACAGAGTAACCACTTCTGTGATGTTCACATGGAATGGTTAATGAAACCCATTCAGATCAGAAAATTAATTATAGTTAAAGCGCCATGTGAAGTGTAGTAGTAAGTTATTTGTCCCTTCGGTTCATTTTTGAACTTTTAACTTGCAAACTCTTCCAAAAAATTTACCGCTTCATCGTGGGTGGAAAGTGTTCCTGGGTGTCGGACTGCGAAGTAAAGCAGTAGGTTCATTCCCACGTCAAGTTCTCCTAAGCTGAAGAGTCCGACCTTTTCATTCGGAGGGCATGCTATGGAAACATCAATGCCAAGAATCACCACCGTCTTGGTACACAGCTAGTCGTATGATAGCAAGGCTCTCTTTGATGCACAAGGCGCCTACTGTCTGAGGTGATGGCGACCTGAGGAAGGCTTCAGCTAAGCTGACATCAGGAGTCCAGGAAAGCGCATTGGGTAAACTGGCAAAGCTCCAGTCGCTGTACCCATGTACTGGGCTACACTATAACTAAATCCCACCATGGTATGGAATTTATAACAGAAAAATTTCATGCCAATTTTTTGCTCTCAGTAAACCCCGTCTCGGACTCTGCATCCTCGTTACAGAAAAGCCGCCCAAGATCCTACCCTCTGAAGTTCGAGTTGCGATAGAAAGTGTGAGGAGAGGCACAGTTATAGGACCGAATAAAATTACTGCCGATTTCATCAGATCTGGTGGCCATAAATTACATGTACTTTTCACAACCTACATGTCATCTTGCCTTCAGAAGGAGAAAATTCCAGACCAGTGAAGGACGTAGCACTCGATCATCCTACGCAAGAAGGGTGACCAAAGGCTTCTTCGTAATTATCGTTCGATGTGTTTGTTGAGTGTACTCTACAAGCTGTTTACGAAGATTATCCTGTTGTTGATGTCAAAGGAATTTGATAAGGTGTTACTACTTGAGCAAGCTGGATTTACTCAGACGTTTTACTGCATGGGCCACATACAAACCGTGTCAGGGTCGTGGAAGTCTGTTTGGAGTACCCACTCTCCTACTGCCGCGCTGCAGTGGATAATGAAGTCACTCAATCGGAACGAAAATGCCACACGTTTCTACGGAAATCTTCGTTTAGTCGACGACATCGTAATTTTTTCAAGAAGTATCAACGGCGTACAAACAAGATCCGGTTCACGATGAAACCATTCTGCTAAAGTTGACGAATCGAACTGGAAAGTTCTCTCATTACAGAGACCAACGTTCACTGGATATGAAGAACAATATGAAGAAGGAATTAGACAAAAGGAGTGTGGCAAGAGATGAATTCGGGCCTGTCGGAGAAGTCACTCAACCAACTAGAGGATTCGAAAATTCGCCTTCACCATTTCGTTTCAGCAGTCCTCCCAGCGCTGTTATGCAGGAAAGGCGTGAGTTGATACTTCGTTCGCATTGAACTATGCACGCACCACAGATTGCTTGAATGATGTTTGGTAAAATATAACCAGAATTTACAGTGTATGGGCAGCAAGCACAGCTCAAATATTCGGAACCTATCTGATTTGCGAGGTCCAGGAAGACATACATCAATAGCGAAGCACGATTGGGCCGTGGCTCATATAATAAGAAACACAGTTGTACGATGACAGTTGTACGAACAGAACAGTGGAGTGGACACGAAGAGAATCCGAGAGCCTCTTGGAAGACTTCAATGGGAACGATTTTAGGGCTATAGAATGGACTTCATGAATGTCACTGTGTTCGGACCAGAATGCCACCATGAACGAGGATTGGGCGAGAGGGAAATGAGTGGAAATTGTGCAGGAGTCTGCACTGTCAGTGAGGACGGACTATCCAATGCAAGTGATTAAGTAAATTGCCAAAAAACAAGCCGCCATACTCTTCAGAACACTCTTTGGGCAGCTTCTAGGCACAGAAGAAAAGCTTAAATCCTATAAAGTATTGCTGTAGGTGCGCACAATGCACATAGCGGTAATCGTTTTGGATTAGCAATATCTTAGACACAATCCTCGAGCAAGAATTATAAAATTCAACGAGGAAATTGTTGAAGTGTTTTAGATAAATCCCAAAAACACGGAAATGAATAAAAAACGAATGCCGTACTATCACAGATAAGGTCGTCCCATCTCAGATTAATTTATGAACAAAATTAATTGGATGAACTTCAGTTTGAACGACACAGGGATGGTTTCATTTTTAAGAAGATGAGAACGATGCTTAGTCTATAATATTTTGATATCTACATATTGTCTTTTAGTTGAGACTGTAGAATGCTCATTAAATAAGGTTCTATAAAAACATGTCTGGGCTCTGAAGGAGGTATTCCCATGAGACGTTACCCATCGAACATCAAAAGTACGTGTCAACCAATATGTTTCTGTTGGCTCAATAACGAGGATTCGCAAAGCAATATGACTTGAGTATTAATGCCGAGGTTAATTGAAAGTCGGCCTTTTGAGTCATATCGATAGACTTAAATATCTTAATTGTCCTAAATTTGTTTTAGTTTCAGTTCTATGGTCGTGAAGACTTTAATACCAGGCTTCCACAGTTTACAGTGGAACTCTTAACACAGAGAATACTCAAAGAGCTGAAATATGCTGAATTTTCTCTAAATATTTTATCAAACAGAGCAACAACTCAACCTGAGCTGCTCATCTCAACAGGGGTATTTAAATGGTCCATATTTTTAGTACATAATGCTGTTATTATTGAGATCATCGAGGTTTTTTAGCTTGTTCGATTGAAAAGTGATGTTCAGGATGCCGTTTTCGTCTGGAAGAAGCACTGGGAGAAGATGGACAACAGTTTAATGAGGATTCCAGATAGAACTGTGTTATTGGTTGAGAGAGCGACCAGCTACAAATTGGCAAGTGTGCTGTTTTAGTAACTGTTGAATACCACGATAGCTTACAAATGTTTCTTCAAGCTCTAAATAATATCAGGTTTTGTTTTCTTGATAGGTGGACAAACATCTGGAAACAGTGGCAGTTGATGGCCTTATTCGTATATTGGATGCAGCTGTCATCAATGGAGATGATGTGTCTGGTCTTTTGTATTCCAAGCGCATGGCAGCGGCCCAAAAGTTTTGTAAAGCACTACAATTGGTTAGCCATTCAAAGAAGTTCCTTGCATTTACAATGACTCCAACTTGGTGTAAATGGTTCTGTTTCCTGTAATTTATTAATCTGTCGATTTATTCATTAAAGATTATCCCAAAAGTCCGACTAGGTTGGGGACTCCACAAGAGATATGTCGTTCCTCCTCAATTGGTAACAGCGGAGTCGTTTACATTTGATCAACTGCCGCAGGTAAGTCACTGAACTAGAACTTCATATGCCTTCTTGCGCTTTAGGTGTAAAATTACCTAAGGTTCGTCGGAGGTTTTCGCGCCTGCGTCATTCAGGTGAAGAAGTGCTTGTTATTGAAGAGAATGGATATTTGATGATGTGTAAAGCACTTCGAGTTGCTCGTCTTCTTAAAGGTAAGAATACCAGAAGAACAATTAGTATAACACTTCAGTGATGTATCAATTTAAATATCCTAGTGTTTAAACAGTTTAGAATCGTGGAAGATGGGATGGTCATGTAGCAAGTTGCGGAATTACGCCTTCTCTCCTTCTCAACCCACTCTGGGAAGCTTTTTCGAACAACAATGGGAGGAGTAAGTTTGGATCCTGACTCTTTAGTGAATTCAAAAGTGTAACGAGTTTTACGGAGATTTATGTTTGGAATCACTTCCACGCTTGTCTAACACTCGTGTGTTCGGTTAGGTCATCATATCTCCTATTTCTCGCTTGTGAAAATGGAACTTTGATGTGGTCATTTTCTTATTCGAAACCTGAAAAATGTCTGGTATCCCGGGGTTGATGTTGATATTCGAAATGGTAGGACTTATTAGTGTTTTTTTATAGGCATGGACACCGATCCATATTTGTCTTCCACGGTTTCTTCCTTCAATCTCAAGGTTTTCTTAAAACTAAGACTGTGAGAATTACGGTCGCATTGTTTCCCAACCTAAAAGATCGAAATTTTAATATCTTGTTTATTGAAATTTGACCTGGAAAGTTGTATAATACGGTAAATTCTTGCGTATTAGATGTTACAGTAATTGTTTAGCCGCTTTTTGATCAGACTTTTCTCGAGCCTCCAGAAAAAAGAATAAGTGGTAGACTTATAGTAGTGTTTTCTAAGCTGTTAACACGCCACGGATCTCTCTCATATGAGGGACCACTAGCCGGTTAATCGCGAGGCTAGACGCCGCGTCCCCAGGTGGCAGATAGGGGGTTAGTAGCCGACTAAAGGCAACCCTTACTTCCCTGAGACGCAGGTGGATCCAGCTGATGGACTCTCTGTTTCTGCTGCACTGATTTGGCACATACTTTCTGCATTTACTAGGCGTACTCATGCAAGCGTGTGTGGGTGCGTTCTTGCTTATGCGGATTGTATCGTACGAGTTAATACGGCCAAAAGCCTGTACAAGTGACTGGGAAGTATATGGGAGGCGGTTAGGAGTCCCTTCCAACAAATAAGCTCCATATCCACTCTGGAAGAGCCTGCAAGCTACCTGTGAGTATATCCAGCCACCACGTCCAGAGCCTGGCAAGCTATACGTGGGTAACAAAAGTGCTAAACACAATAAAAAAGCACCACATTCCTCATACGCCGAAAGAGTCCCCGATTTGGCAGTGTTGGATAGCATGAGTACAGGGAGGCTGCTTATATTTCAGGGCCATTCTAGGTTGCCTAAATCGCAAAGGACTAAGGTGACGATGTGTATCTACAGTGCACGCACACTTGTATCTAAGTCCTCTATAGAAGACCTGATCATGCAGGAAAGAAGAATAAGGTACGAAGTCATCGGTCTGGCCGAGACGAGACGACGCCATCCATTTAACAGCGTCCATGACACCGGAAAAGAACTGTTCTTCGGAACATGCGGAAGTAGAGGAGTCGGCGGCGTTGGCGTTCTCGTGAGCACGGGAAAAGCAGCAGTTGTGGACGAAGCTTCAGAGGCTGGAAAAGCATTCACAAACTCCACCGATGCTTCACCAGTTACAAAACCAAGGTGATTGCACTCTGGCTCCCAGACGGAACAGTTACAGCGTCCAGAAAGCAATGGAGAAAATCCTTCACCAATACTACTCAGATCTCTTCGATAGCCACGTCCATCTCCCGTCATATGAAATAAAGGAGGACGGATATGTTGCACCACCGGATCTCCCTTCCGAAATCCGACATGCCACCTCGTCAGTGGAAAATCGAACAGCACCAGGTCCGGACAGGAGAAGACCAGAACACCTGAGGAACTTTCCGCCAGTCCTCGTAAACACACTGGCTCGGCTCTTCACACGTTACCTGTCTGTATGCAAGGTTCCTACTCAGTGGAAGACCAGCAAGACAGTGTTGTTTAAAAAGGGTGACCTACACGTTGTCGACAACTATTGCCTAACCAACTTACAGTCTGTCGTCTACAAACTTTCCGCTCCAGTCATCCTAAACACGATTGACAAAGCAGTGGAGGAACGACAGCCATGTGAACAAGCAGGGTTTCGAAAAGGATTCACTAAGAAGGACCATCTCCACACGGCAACAAAACTCATTGAAGTATCGCGAGAGTACAAATGATCGCTCTTTATCACTTTCATCGATTTAAAGAAGACCCTCGATTTAATTGAGAGAGAAGCAGTCATGGAAACCCTTGCTAGTCAGGGAATCCTTCATGAACTGGACAAAAATTTCGTAACCAAGACATCACCATTATGCAACGGCGTTAACACTGACGCCAAAACAGAAGTTAGGCAAAGCGATACCATGTCACCAAAATTGTTTACCGCCACCATCGAGAACGTCATGCGAACATTGAAATGGGAAAACACAAGAGTGGAAATCGGTGGTCGGCAATTACACCATCTTCGTTTTGCTAATGACATCGTTTTTATAACACCAAACATCAGTAGTAGTAGTAGTGCAGAACGAATACTTGTCAGCTTTGACAAAGCCTGCGGAAAAGTTGGTCTTCGACGAAATTTCACAAAAACGATGTTCGGAACGGATTTGTTACGCATGCCCCATTCACGCTCAACGGAACGATTATCTCCGAATGCTCCAGTTATATCTATTTAGGTCGGGAAATCAACCTGTTAAACAACTTAGCGCCACAGTTAAGGAAAAGGAAATGAGCAGCTTGGGGAACTTTCAAGAGCATCGAGGATGTAGTAAAGAGAACAAAGATCACTCGACTCTATGCTCATCTTTAAACTGAACGGTATTTATTGCCTTAACGTATGCGTCAGAAACCTGGTCTCTGCGTAAGTAGGACCAGAGATCACCTAGCGTTATTTAACGCAGAGTCGAAAGAGAATGATGCTAGTAGTAGTATTCCGTTTCACACAAGTGAGGGATTGGATCCGAAGCTCCGACCTGCGTCAACGATGAAAAATCAAAGATGCCGTTATCTACTCCAAACAGCCGAAGATAAGATGGGCCGGACACGTAATACGAATGAACGGCAACCGATGGACAAGAGCTGTTAGCGATTGGATTCCTCGCGATGTCAGACGCACTGCAGGAAGAACCCCGACCCGATGTTCAGAGTTCTTCACGAAAAGCCTTGAGGAATGATATGATGCTCAACGACTCCGTATAGCGAGCAGAACCCACTGAGCTATTCTTGCATGCGGCAGGGAAATATTGAAGATTTACTAGCGGTTGTTCGAGTCGCTAGACGATCAACGGGACTACAGGTTATACAGGTGACAGGTGATGTCACCAATTGAATTTTTCTGTTACTATCACCTGTGTCACCTGTAGTCCCGTTGACTGTCGAGTTACTCGAGCGGGCGCTAGTAAACCTTTCATGTTTCCCTTCGCGTACAGGAGTAGCCCAGTGGGTTCTGCTCGCTCTAGGGAGTCGCCGAGCATCATATCTTTCTTCAAGGCTCTTTGTGAAGAACTCTGACCATCGGGTCGGTGGTCTTCCTGCAGTACGTTTGAAATCCCGACGAATCCAGTCACTAACGGCTCTTGCCCATCAGTTGTTACTCATACGTATTACGTGTCCGGCCCACCTTATCTTCGACTGTTTGGTGCATAGAGCGGCATCTTTGATATTTGATCGTTGATGCAGGTCGGAGCATCGCTTCCCTTCCCTTGCCTGTGCGAAATGGGATACTCCTAGCATCGTCCTTTCGACTACGCGTTTGATAACGCTGAGTGAGCTTTCATCCTGCTTTCGCAGCGACCAGGTTTCTGACGCATACGTAAGGGTTGGAAGTATTGTTGAGTCGGAAAGGTGGGCACGGAGTCGGAAGTTCGTTGTTCTCATCACTCGATTCATCCTCGATGCTCTTGAAAGCTTCCCAAGCCGCTCGTTTTCTTCTCCTCAGCTCTGGAGCTAGGTCGTTCATTATATTGATTTCCCGACCTAGATAGATATAACTGGAGCATTCGGAGATATTCGTTCCGTTGAGCGTGAATGGGGCATGCGAAACCAATCCGTTCCTCATGAACATCATTTTTGTGAGATTTAGTCGCAGACCAGTCTTCCCACAGGTTTTATCAAAGTCAGCAAGCATGCGTTCCGCATGGCTAATGTTTGCTGTTATAAGGACGATGTCATCAGCAAAACGAAGATGGTGTAGTTGCCGACTGTCGATTTTCACTCCCATATTATCCCATTCCAATGTTCGCATGACGTTCTGGAGGGTGAAGGTAAATAATTTTGGCGAGATGGTGTCGCTTTGCCTAACTCCTGTTTTGGCGTCAGTGTTAACGCCGTTGCATAATGGTGATGTTTTGGTTACGAAATTTTTGTCCAGCTCATGAAGGATTCCCTGACTAGCAAGGCTTTTCATGACTGCTTCTCTCTCAATTGAGTCGAAGGCCTTCTTTAAATCGATGAAAGTGATAAAGAGCGGTATTTTATACTCTCGCGATACTTCAATGAGTTTTGTTGCCGTGTGGAGATGGTCCTTCGTAGTCCTTTACGAAACCCTGCTTGCTCACATGGCTGTCTTTCGTCCAGTGTTCTGTCAATCCTGTTTAGAATCACTCGAGTGAAAGGTTTGTGTTTACCAGAACCAGTGTGTTTACGAAGACTGGCGGAAGGTTCCTCAAGTGTCCTGGTCTTCTCCTGTCCGGACCCGGTGCTATTCGATTTTTTACCCACGAAATGGCATGTCGAATTTTGGAAGGGAGAAACGGTGGTATCCGTCCTCCTTTATTTCATATAACGGGAGATGGACGTGGCTATCGAAGAGATCTGAGTAGTATTCGTGAATGATTTTCTCCATTAGTTTTCCGGACGCTGTAACTGTTCCGTCTAGGAGCCGGAGTACACTCGTTCTGGTCTTGTAATTGACGAGGTTTCGGTGGGCTTTGGCAATGCTTTTCGCAGCCTCATCTTCGTCCATTACTGTTGCTCTTCTCTCTCTAAGATCTTTTATCGCCTGTCTGCATTGTTTTGCATGTTCGGACGTTAGTTCGCGGTTGCCTGCAGCTCGTGCGATTCCACGTTGGCGTATCAGCTCGAGTGTTTCTGGAGACAGACGTCTCCTAGCGACTTTCGAACTATCAGCTTTCGTAGCACTAACGTGAAGAGGTTGAATGAGCCGATCGTATTCTTCGTCGATGTTATCGACAACGACATCTTCCCAACAGCCGACCA